TATCTTGAAATTTCCCATTATCCATTAGATCTTCACTGGGCCCAAACACACCTTGGGCTCTGCCCAGAGTTTCCCCAGGATTACTCCAGTTTTCCCTGGTATTTTCCTGATTTTTTTCTCAGGTTCATCCTAAATTTTCCTTGTGATTATCCCAGTTTTCCCCAGAATTCCCCAAATTTCCCCATCAGGCCTCAAATAAGGGGTTCAGCCTCCCCTCAAGTCCTTTGTCTTTGAGGCTCTTCCCAGAATTATTCTGGAATTAACCCAAATTTTCCCCATAATTGCCCATTTTTTTCCTGGAATTATCCCCTAATTTCTCATTAGCCCTCAGCTCCCTCAAAAAAGGGGGTTCAGCCTCCTCCATTCCCAGTTTTGGGGTTTTCCCATTTTGCTCTGGGTTTATCCCACTTTTCCACAGGATTATTCCAAATTTGCTGCATGATTCCCTTGAATATCCCCATTTGACTTTAAATCCTCATTGGGCTGGAAGAAGAGGATTCAACCCCATCCATTCCACTTCAAAATCTTCCCAGAATTATTCTGGAATCATCCCAGATTTCCCCAACACCATCCAGGAGTGCTTCCCCAGGAGTATCCCACATTTCCTTTTGAGATCATCCTAAATTTTCCCCACGATTAACACAAAATTCCTCTGAGTTCATCCCAGTGTTTCCTGGGGATTAACACAAACTTCCCGTGAGAGCACCCCAAAGCTTCCCCAGGATTAATACAAATTTCCCTCAAAATCATCCCAAAATTTTCCCCACAATTAACACAAAACTATCTCAAGATCATCCCAAATTTTCTGTGGATTATCCCCAAACTTCCCCTGAAATCATCCCAAAGTTTACCTGGAATTAATGCAAAGTCCCCCTAAGATCATCCCAAATTTTCCCCAGGATTAATACAAATTCTCCCTGAGATCATCCCCAATTTTCCCTGGATTATCCCCAAACTTCTCCTGAAATCACCCCAAAGTTTCCCCAGGATTAACACAAAATTCCTCTGAGTTCATCCCAGTGTTTCCTGGGGATTAACACAAAATTCCCGTGAGAGCACCCCAAATTTTGCCTGGATTATCCCCAAATTTGCCATCAGAGCACCCCAAATTTTGCTCAGATTATCCCCAAAATTCCCCTGAGATCATCCCAAAGTTTCCCCAGGATTATCCCCAAACTTCCCTCAAGATCATCCCCAAATTTTCCCTGGATTAACCCTAAACTTGCCCTGAGGTCATCCCCAAGTTTCCTGGGGATTAACACAAATTTCCCTCTAAATCATCCCAAATTTTCCCTGGATTATCCCCAAAATTTCCCTGAAAATCATCCCAAAGTTTCCCTGGGATTAAGACAAACTTCCCTCGAAATCATCCTAAATTTTCCCCAGAATTAACACAAAATTCCCCTGAGATCATCCCAAATTTTCCCTGGATTATCCCTAAACTTGCCTTGAGATCACCCCAAATTTTCCCTGGGATTAACACAAACTTCCCCTGAAATCATCCCAAGGTTTCCCCAGGATTAATATAAATTTCCCCTCAAAATCATCCTAAATTTTGCCCAGATTATCCCCAAACTTCCCATCAGAGCACCCCAAATTTTCCACTGGATTAT